ACATGCAGGAAATGTGCGTTATTTTGACACATGGGTTTAATGTAATGTTTTGTTTGTGAAACAATAAGGCGACATTAAAACTAGATCTATATAGATCTAAAGAGTTTTGCTAAAATGATTTCCTGCCGGAGGTTAGTAATTTAATAAAGCGACAGTATGCTATCATAGAGTATACTTTAATTGTATCCCACTCTTTTTTATTCTAATGGCTACTGTGGTAAGAAAATGAAACACTCGCTGTCAGAAAATAAAACAATCTGACAGATATATTTAGAAACCATTCCATTACATACAAAAACATCTTAATAAATAGATTTTAACAAGTTAATAGGATGATTACAATATTTGAAAGGAAAAAACGGAAAGTGTGTTTCTGTTTTTACATGGTATTATGTCTTATTTAAAAGCTAGCAGAACATATATAAAAACGTGTGTTAAATTTCGTATTTAAAATGTTTTCAACAAAAAGAAATAAAAATATCAAGTGTTTTCCCGTTCTGTTTTCAGTACAAACCAGTCGTATCATAATTCAATAACAGATAAAAAAACAACACTTGTCACCTCCTTCTCATTTATATTTTATTCTTGTGGCTCATTTATTGAAAGAAAAATGTTCCTTGTGGAAGTTAAAATACTGATGATGATTAATGTAAGATTGTTTAAGAGATGTTTAGACTAAAGCGTCCTCACATGCATTAGTCATAATTGTGTTGAAAAACAATGCAGAGCTACAGAAATCGCGGCGCCACACGGAGAGTGGAATTAAATAATTGGACTGAAATTAAACAATGCTACTTCGTTAAAGATACAAATGATTTCCGTCAGTGAAGATTTTGTTTTGTTTTATGACCTGTTTATTCCAGTGTCTGAAATATGTTTACGCATAGATAATGGGTATTTTTTTATATTTGGCTTTTTTCATTTCAACAACTTATATTGGTAGAAGCAGCATTGACTTTACTAATATCCCATCGATCATTGGTGATTTATATGTAGATGTATTTTATATTTATTTGTATATACACGTACTTACTTTTTACCTTCAGTAGATTGTTTTTGTCGAAACATAACATAAATAATGCTCAGTCCAGAGCATTCTTCGACATTTTATGAATTTTTTATATGGTCAAACCTGTATTAAAGACCCCTCCCAGAGAAAAACTGTTGTGAATGGCAACGGATTACCTTTACCCGTTTGAATTATTACATCGTTTCTAATAAAGTCTTGTTCCTATTGTCAGGTTAAACATCAGTTTAAACTCATCAAATATTTAGTTAAATTTCGGTTGTAAAACATGACCTCAATAATAACACTATCATTACATTTGCGTTTTACGCTTTAAAGTTTTAAGCTTGACTTTATTGGTATGACTAAGCCATTTATTGAAAATTGCCTCGGTCACTTCAGACCGTGTCGGTCAGTCTTTTGATTTCGCCGTTTTTATCGTGGGAATTTCCGTCGTGCGACTAACAAACTGTGAACAAAACGGGTCATAATAAAAAATATTCGCAATAAAGCGTAAATATTTTCAAATAGTAATGACCTTTCGACCTTGACTTACACAGAGGAAGAAATGGCTTTAAAGTCGTTAAGTACGATTATAAACAATATAAGTTATATGCATGTTGTATCATTACTTTCAAGCGGTAGATTAATAAATTTTATGTATTACAACATCTTTGTCTAACTTGTTTTATGACGTAGACTATTATATTCGGTAAATTACAAATAAAATCCCAATACCAGACACAATATGTACTGAGATCAATTCTAATATTAATGAATGATTTCATAAATGCTCAGGTCATTGAGTGCATGTTACAAAATTTACAAATTTTGCGATATCTGGCCGCAATTCCGTACAAAACTCTTTTAACTACAGCAAAGGGACGGGTATTAACGTCGCCGCAATATGAAATATATTAATTTGGTACATAAAGGGACTGGTATATTACCGCATTGTTGTGTGGATCGGTTTTAAAGTTGGTTTGAAATAAGGGATTTCTTGTAAAGGTTAACAGATGCAAACTGATGCTGCTTAAAATCTTATAATTATAATGTAAGAACAAAAGTTGGTTAGAGTATAAGAAAAATACTTTTAGTGAGAAATTATTAATTATAGTTTGGACAAGAGTAGGGACCTCTTGGGTCACGTGGTTCAGACCAATGACTTTAAAATCACGTGCCCCTTATCGGTGGGAGTCAAATACTCTGGATAGTATAGTCTAAGAAAGCTATTTCGCTGGTTTTGGTGCCCGATGGAGACTGATGACTTCAAATCACTTGCCCCTTATCAGCGGGAGTAAATACTCTGGATTATCTTGTATGAGAAAGATATTCAGCTAGCTACTCTACGTCTGGTGTCCGTCCATGCACGGATGGCTCCTAAGCAGTTATATTTTACCAGAAACTGGAGAGCCACACTATGGGTATTAAATAAGAAAAAAGTGACCAAAGTCCATTCCTCAAAAGAGCCCTTTGCGAGAATATATAATGATAATTATGATAAAATGAATAGTTAATGAAATAACTCTTGATAATAAATGGACAGTTTATTGGTATATTCGGATATGTATTTTGTAACTATGAGAAACGGAAAGTCTACTGTTTACAAGAAAACAGACAAAACAGTTCGCATCAGAAGTACGAACAGATTCTATAAATATACGAGTATTAGCATGAATGAAAAAGAAATAACTTCATGTATGATTAATTTTTGGATGATATAAAACATATGATAGGGATTAATGGTTGCCAGAACATTGACCTGTAGATTAAGTGTTTACATATATAACATATGGACATTGTGCATATTAAACATGAGCCAGCTTGCCAGGAAGTTATCACACATACAAGATACATTATTATTTTCTCAGGCAAAAAAAAATGAACGATGCAAGAGCGTTTTTGTTAACCGATTTCTCAATTAAATAAAAACATGCGCTCGCGTTATTTCATCAAACAACAACACAAAAAAATATGAAAAATGAATCATATGTAACAAGTATATAGGCGTCGGTTTGAAGTGAAAAAAAATTGATTCTTAAGTAAAATCTTATAATTTTTAAAAAGGAAGATTATTTTAACAAGTAATAAAACAAATTCACACACTTATAGGCACAGTGCTGTATACTTTTCACGATGTTACAGCTTATGTTATATTATTCATTGTAAGTGCCTATTTAACATTCAAGATGTTATGAATGTCAATTTTTGATATAAAAAACTGTATTCAATGCAATTCTAAATATCTTTTCATCACGAACGCAGACATTAGTCAGTGGAAGGCCAGACTGTTTCTTATTCGAGCGATTTTATACGTAGTAGTCATCTTCATAAAACACAATCAAAATGGGCGTATGAATTTCTGCTCATGCATCATGTGTTGTGAGTAAATCACCCTGGCCACAAAAAAATATTTTGTAATGTTTACTCATTAAAATGTGAATCTTACACAAGCTGTGTGAGGAAATAATTCATACTTCACCGAATGACTTGTCAATATTCGGATATTTAAAAACTCGTTCACCGCTTTTTTCCATTCGTTTCACTCTATTGCGTGCATTTTGCACGGCTGGTTAATTTTACGAGCGCCTGTGACTCACTAATTTTTCACTCGTTGGAAAAAAGTAAAATATCATAGTTTCATTCATAAATAATTGGTTTTTGAAAAAAAAATCGTCATGGAAACCGTGATTCAGACTATGATGGTGATGATGAAACTTGATTTTAAAATTTTTATATTTTAACTATTTCACACCATATGGTTTTGGTGCAGTGAGCCGTACACAACTGAATGATGATGACTCATGCAAGGTGTTAGTGAAGTAGCACACGAGGTTGTCAAAACTTTGACACGGAAGTTTTCAACTTTATTGTTTTGATGATTTTGGCGGCCTTGAAAGGTTTTCTGATCCAGATAAAAACAAACATTGATACAATCTGGTTTCTTCGCGTATATTCTGTCATGCAAATTGCATAATTATCAAATAAAATGCGTTGTCATTCATTATGCGAATTCTCTAAAGCCTCTTTGATAAAATTAAACTTGCACAAAATAAACGTAATGGTCGTTTCCGACACATGGTCGTCGACTGTGTCGAAAATGACATTTTTGTCCGTTTAGACCAAGTGAAAATGTTGCGGTTTCTCTACTGTTGTAGAAGTAAATGTAATTGTCACTCGCTATGAAATGATCTGTCTAAAAGGTGGGTGACATGTCTTTAATGAAAAATTAACTAATATTTTTATTCGTTGCTTATATAATTATAAAATGCACAATTTCGAAATATTGCAGACCAAATTCTCCTCACATAATGAAAAAGTCGCTGTCGATTCTACATGTACACATGTACTTAAAACAGCCAAACACGAAAACTCGGTTAAATATTGATACAAAATTTGAACTATTGCCTGAATTAACGTCAGATACCCTAAGATAGTGTTGTTGTTATTATCGTAAAGGGAACTATATAACGATTTGTACGTCAATCAAATTTGATGTAATGGAACCACCATCGTAGAATGACAGCATGGTTTAGTAACTCAAATATCTGATCGGAAATAAAAGCAGCTTACACTGAAGTAGGTTAGAAAAACATAATTTGTTTTTGATTGACCTCAAAGACGTACAACACTAGCCGGAAAATAAAGGTCCTGTAATGGCATAAAACATGTATTGGACGTGGCCGTTATACAAAGGTTTATCATACGTTATGTAGTTTATGCTAGTTTCTAGGCAAACGACCTTCACTCACAAGTGAAAACTGTAGGTTTTTTTTAAAGATGTATACAATTCGTATTCACTAGGAATAGTTATTATGTGTAACGTTTGATATAACTCAACAACGGGGTGTTGGGTCTTAAAACTTGTTTTTAGGTATCTCTAAAGCTGTAAGCCACTGTAAATGACTCTCGGTAACACCTGTTTGCTTTTCTGACATTACATTTACATAACTTTCATTGAAATAAAATGTAATACACAACAAACTAGAATATCATTTTTATATTTTTTTAATTTCTCGTTTTTATTTTTTTTGTTTTTCAATAATTTTTCTACATGACATACTCCAATGACTAATTTGTCACAAGACTCCATATAGATTATGAATACATAATGAAGAGCACTTAATTCATAAATTAAAAACACAGAAATCCAATTGACAATATATAACCAGTATGAATTAAAATGATAATATATATAACCATAATTATACTATTTTTGTTTAAAAAATGTCCGAAGTAAAACCTGTAATAAGTGCAATGGTTTCACATATCAAATTAAAATTTTGGCAATTGTCTTGCCTTCTCAAACTATAGCAAATGTACATGTTTACATCTATATTGTGAAAAAATATCTTTTTAAATCATAATCATATTAAAATATTAATTACACTCATAAAATTCTGATAGTTTAACAATTAATTTACACACAAAAAAAATAAAAAAAAATAAAGAAAATTTGTTTAATCAAACTTATTATTAAAACAAATTTTAATGAAGCAGAGGTAGTTACATGTGTTTTATAGGTGAGAGATCCGGGTGTATTTGTTTGTTTCTTCTGTATGTTGTGGTCAATAAAATAAACAAAAAGTAATTAGAAAACCTAGTCATAATTTTTGTGTGTATGATGATTGATTTTAGCTATGTTACGAAATGAGTGTACATTTCTGAATCATAAATCAATGTTATCATAAAGTAAGTAAACATCATGATTGGTTAAATAAATACACGGTGGCGACATTAAAATACGCCCGTCTTTTTTATCCTGGGTACAAATATTACTGTTAGCCAATATGATAATAATGGAGGTCTGAACATAATAAAATAAATAAAAAGAATCAATCCAACTTAAAAAGTAGTTAAGATTTTGTCAGGGAAAGATTATGATAAAAGATTACTAAAACTAAAACTTTAAATCTACGTTAATCACTTACAACAATGAAATCTTTAAACATTTCAAGTAGTCTACAGTTTTGACTCATATCATAAGTTCAATAACAAACATAAAATAAAAGGATATTAAATACGCACGAATAAACAATTAATATGTAAACATGTATTAAACGTCTTGAAGTATAAACTTAATTGCGCAGTACAGTGTTTTAGTACAGCGTACATGAGGACTTAAAGATTTGAGAGCTCACGGCTAAGATTGTCAAATGTATTTAACACATAGTACAGTCATGAGTCACATACTGGTGAACAATAGAGTACGCTGCCCCAGAGTGTTTGCTTTAAGATTTGTATTATAAATAGAACGTCTTAACGTGAAAAACTTCCCTTGAACGAACAATATGAATGATCCCAGATAAAAGATTATATTTCAAAAATATCTCATTTTCGTTAATTACGATTTCTGAAAGAAATAATAAAGTTTACAAATTCAAAATAAAATGTCATTAAAACTACTGTCAAGTGTATTCGAACTTTCATATCTTATTAACGGTTGTCAAAGTAAATAACTTATCTTAATAATATAAAACTATGATACATCTAGAAAACCGCCCGCAAAATAATTTAAATAAAGTTAATAAAAAAATGAAATAAATTTTTTTAAAAAGCTATCTAACGACAGAATAATTCGGCCTATCGTTAATATAAATCGAATAAAATATTTAAGTTTAAATTGTGTTAAAAAATAAAACTTAAAGTCTCCTTTAAACATTCTTTCAAATCACATCAATCAAGAAATGTCAGCTAAATCAAGACTACCGTAATTAAACTAATTGTTAAAATTGACAGAATTGTTACTTGACAACCGGTATTTGATTTTGGACAAAGAGAGCTGTCAAAATATCTTCTTTGAAGATGTCACAAAATGTTTGAATGAATTGTTTACGTTGCTCGAAGGTGTTTTTGTATTGGTCCCCTTTTTTCCAAAAAATACCAAAAATGTGATTCACACATAATAATAGGTTAAGGCCTCCGTGATTTTTTAAACTGATGATTTGTATTATATGTTTAACTTTTTTGAGCAATTTTCTTCTTTTTTACACGATTTCTTTCTGACTAACTAAATTAGCCATGTTCTTTTTATAGTCACAGCATGTTTTTCTTACCCGGATAATACTTATGTGTGTGTGTGATATTACAACATTTAAACATACTGTTCAAATACAAATATTTCAAAATAAAATTCTAACATGAAATAATGAAATTTTATATAAAAATATCTAAACATAATTAGGATTTCTTTCTCCTATAGCTAATGTTGATCAGTCTAGTCTCAATGTCATTAAATGCCATTTCTGGTCGGAAATTCTTTGGATGTGAGTCTAGTTATCATTTTTCACACATATTCCACCTTTCGTATATTTCATATATTACTCATATAACGTTAATTAAGCGACATAGATCAAAACATTGACCTAGGTCCATCTGCATCAATTATATGCATATGCAATGTCTTAATAATCGTATACCCAGAGAATGATTCAACCAGCATATTTACAAAGTGAGTGGATGGAGAATTGGAGAGATGGCCTTAACAGTACACCATACCATGAAAAATTAATCACTGTGGCCTCCGTAACATTAATCTCTGATATATCACCACTGTTATTACAAATTCTCAATTGATGAGAAAAGTATGCCTGTTATATAATTGTACCATCTGTAATGTTCACTTTCTGTAATTTTCTCCACCCAACCCATTGCTCATCTCTGACATCCCCATGTTCAAAAATTAAAAAAGAACAAAAATTGATTGCACAGGCCAGGAAACAAATTAGTGAAAGACATGTAATTTTCTTCTCAACCCGACTTTTTTCTCTCACATCTGATTTCCATTATTAATGAGTCACTGCTAGGAATGTTCTTTTTTCTCCAGTCGAGAGTATAATTATCAAAGTCAGTTGGATTTCAAATAATTATTTTCTATTTTCCCGCGCAAAGTTATAAAACCATGTACGGGGAAAATTAACGCTGACTCAGCGATTCCTTTGCATCCTCTTGTCTGTCATTTTAGACTCTCTGCTTTGTTTAATCTCATTTCTCTAATTCCCCTCTCTTTGTATTTCGGGAATGAAATAATTTCCAAATACTCCGCAGGACCGTCACTTCATCATTATTTCTTGTCACTAATCATTTTCTGAAATCCGCTGAAATAACTTTAAATGAATAACTGCATGCAACGTTGTTCGTTTCCCTGATAAAGTTCGACAACTCTGAACATATTTTTCAGTTTTTTTTTTTAAAATGCAGAAAAGAACCGAATATAATTTGAGCATCCGTATAACGAGTAATTTGAAACATCCGGGTCACACGAACGTTTCGATTTCTTCAATGCACGGAGTTAACGTTCTTGAAATTAGTCCCTGATTTAAAGCCTGTTCAAAGTCTAAAAGTTGACCCATAAAGTTGAAATTAGGGGAGATAATTTGGCGCTTGGATTTCACAAATCTGTAAGCATCTGTCATTGACATACGAGAGTGGCGGAGGAGGAATGCTATCGTGATTGTAGCCGACCTTGACACCCCAGCTTGGCAATGGACTAGTACTTTAGCACCTGCCTCTCGTGCTTCGTCTGTAAGTAAATATAAACAAAAATGTTAAAAACCGAATTAAGTTAAACTAATTGAACAATATACATTTCTGTACACAAGCAACTACATTGTACATGTATTTATAAAATATCTTTCAAAACATATATAACGCATTATACAATCAACGGCACATAACCTTTGAGTATACTAAACTTACTTTCTGTTATCATTTTTGCAAAACATACAGTAATGATAAGATATTGTCACGTGACATATTTATTGTCTTAATGCGCAATAAAATGTCCCACGACATTTACTGTACGGGAATAATTTACATATATATCCTCGACATACAGTAACTTAGTTACTTGTCATATTATGAAATTTACCCTAAAATAACAGTAAAAAATCAAAGGTCACAGTCACTTTAATGTTAAAACTTGATGAATTATTTATTCTACAATATTGGACTTTTTGATTTTCTCTAATACATGTATACAATACATGTACATATGCAGAATAAAAAAACAAGTATACAATATGGTTTGTCTAATATGGTTGTTGATGTATATTAATGATATAAAAGGTATGAGTCAGTCGACCATATGCCGCCATCAGCGTTATATCCTGGCAACATATCTATATCATATTTTCAGATATTGGCTTATTGTCGCTCACAGGGGTTTTATTATTGCCTGATCTTTTTTTCTGTTATTTTTGTTTAATGAAATATTCTTATAAAAAAGGCATAGCTTATTTAAAACTTAATGTCCGCGACACATAGTCGTTAAAATCAGAGACATAGATAATGTCTCTGTTAAAATGAACTAAAATCACAATATCAGACGATCAAATACACTGGGCCGTTCAATATTCGATTAATAACTGTTCTAATTCTCTATTTGCAGTATTTCCCATGACTCATCTATCGAATGGATACAAAATGAAAAGTCACAAGAATGACTGACTGACTATTCTAGCAACACAAGTCTGGTTTGGTGGAAAAAAGAGTTTGATTTTTTTTCACTAACGATTTCAGGTAAACATCTGTTTCCTTCAAAATTCATTATTTCAAAGGTAAATCACAAAGGAAAGTAGCAAATGAAACGGCAGATACGTTTGTGTGACGCACAATGTTTTAATTTTACTAGATAAAAAAGGTCGTTTCACAGATTTTCAAACAATAAATGGCAGCATCTCATTATGGTGACTCAGAACAGGTGTCAACAAAGTGTCGTCTGCCACAATACAAACGGCGGGAAATGGTGGCGCTTAGAGATTTATTTCACGTATTGAACAGTCATCAAAGATGACCAAAAAACAACAATAGAAACAAAAGAAATGACTGAAGCATAAACAATAGTATCCGATTGCAGTGAAAGACGTTTTTGAGTATAGCTCGTGGGAACCGGAACTGATCCCAAGTGACAGCGGAAAAAAACGTTTTCGAGAAAAAAAGTCATAAAAATCGTTCAAAATACAGGAAGCTGATCTTAAAGTATAAAATATCAATCAACACTTCACTAAAAGCTTCCGAAGACTCGGTAAACCAACTAAAAACGCTTTCTCTATAAGTTGTATGTTCAACATGTTCTAAATGATTTATCGGCGAAATTTGTTGACAATGGATCGGATCCAAGAAAATTTGAAATGATTATTGTAAGAGCTCCGTGTGGTTTCTTTAAGTGTTTGTACTTCACTGGACGACACAACAAATAAACCTGTACTTAAAATAGAGAAATGTTTAATAAAAATCGAAAGTTTGTTTTATACAAAATTGCGGTGACTCAGACTCTATTGTAAGAGTTAAAATTAGTCGATTTAATGTCCACATGGTTGGCCTATTATTCAGACAAAAATTCTCAAATTAAATTATCATGTATATAGATAAATGATTATCAAGTTTCATGTAGATATAGAGAGATATTTTAATGGTCACATTCACTGTCTATTGATAATGAGTCATTTCTTTTTCTCTTCATGTATACATAAGTCAAGTCAAGTCAATGACTCTGAACAGCTCTTTAAATTTACAAAGAAAATCAAAAAATAAAAGAAATAAATACGGTTCAGCAAACTATTCTCAGATAATTTTTTTCTTTGCTTCTATTACGACATTCAATTAAATTAAGTAAATCTTAGATTTCTATTTACTTCCTCTGTAACATGTAGTTTTCAATCTTAGTATTTCAAAAGTATTTCATGATAATTTTAAAGTAGACCTCACATCATTAAGTGCTTCATGAGACATTATTTATTCATCATTTTATTCACACAGCGTGTGTTACTTCATTAAAAATTAATAATAATTCTTGAAGTCGATACAAAAAAGTATTCAGGAAAAAACTCATAGCGGATATTTATAAACGGATTGTTAACCCGGTAATCTTTTTCGTGTTTTAATTTCCTGTTCTCTCTCTAGATTGACTACTGTACACATGTTATTTTTACCAAGGGTTCTTCATGTCAGCAGCCGTTTTGTTCGCAAGTAAAACTCTTAGGTACATGCTAAAGACCCACTTTTCGTGAAATTCGAATTTCCGCTCTTTCAGCTATCTCTTTTTGAATTGAATTAATTGACGCGCTCGGTAATTCATTGAGTGTTATTTAACCAAACCTAATTAGTCATGATGAAGCCGCTTTTGAACAAATTACGAGATATGGTTAACGAAATGTGGCATGGGCAATATTGCGTAACAAAAGATCCAGTCAATAATTAGAATTGAAACCTCCACTCAATACCATAGATACCGTGAATGAGTCATCAAAACGTCAACCATATCAAGTCGTATCATATAATTATTAATTTTCATAAAGTTTTTTTTTATCTGAAGGAAATATTTAACAAAGAAACAACAGTAAATGATACGGCTGCAGACGACAAATAATGCTCTGCGGAACCAGTATTAAACACCGGTTAACGGTTGTTATATAACAAATATTGACATAAACGTTAGTCATACTATCCTAATAATCGAGCGAAACTAATTGGTCTTTTTATCCAATGCTGATGCGACAGGTGTGATTATCACGGAAACATTAGTCGCACGACGTACATCGTTTTCCCGCCGCAAGACAAAGAAGTTGTGACAACAGATGCTTTAAATGAAGAAAACCTGTCCAAAAAAAATCGAAATGTCGGTATCATGAGTAAACTTTAACATTTAACCCGATATATTTCCTGTTTTAAATTATCATTGCTTACCTATGAATAAACCGGCTTCTTCAAAATACTGTCTGAGATTTTGTTGACCACTGTCCGAGGCTGGAATTCTCTTATATTTTATTCCATGATTTTCAAAATGAAGAGGTATGTGTGATGTGACGTTAAGAACGTAGGTGATTCCTAAATCGTTTAAACGCTGTAAGTTGGCCGCGTCTCGCTCATTACCTATAACGTAAGAAAAAAAGTATGAGTTGATTAACGTACAAAAATGCAAAATGTAGTTGTTCTTTCGTTAAAATGCATTGTTTTTTAGGTGTTTTTTTTTCTCTCTATTTATTTTTTGAAAAACAATATCAGCAAGACCAATCGTTAACAAATACAAAAAAAAGATTAATTAATTAAGGTTATTTACCTAAGTAAAGAAAAGGCACAATCTGTGACGCGGTCGCAGTTTCAATGGCGGGCTCTATAATAGGTGTCGTGGGGCTATACAATGGCTTATGTTCGTGGGCCTTCAGAGAACTCTTACATAAGTCTTCGTAGTCAGACTGAAAGTCATCCAAGCCTCCTGTAAATAAGAAAAGCATTTTCATAAAGAATTCTTTGTTTGTGTGGAAGATGGAAGGAGGGGAGGTGGGGGTAATTTTATTATAAACCAAAATGATGACAAATTTGTATAGTTTATTGACGTAAGAGTCGCATGTATAAGATTGGCGGCTCGCCACTTTCGGTCTTCTGCTGCATCTACGACGTTCTGATCATATCTGCTTCCCACGAAGAAGGTATTTTCCATTCATTAATCAGGAGCTATTACCTGGGTTTTGATTCCTAACGTATACAAATCTACGTCAAGAGAGTCTGTTTATCTGTGTTACAACATTTTTGTGGCTTTACAAGTGTGCTACATCTCCAGAACAGCTGATCTCTATGATAAATCTAATTTTAGAACGCGCGCGCAGTGCAAATGGTGCAACCGTCGCAGCCGACAGATTCATCTTCGAAATGGTTCAGTGACGTCATTAAACTCATGGTCCCTATACAAAGAGGGAATCTGAAACATGAGTCACTAAACGAACCCCAATTCTAAATGATTAGTCACCCAGTGGAAAGAAATGAAAACTAAACAAAGGAAGAGAATTTTTCTTTTCAAACAGCGGGTCATAATTCGCAATTAAAACAAGAAGTCTATTCAAGTACATCCTGAACTATTTAATGTCAAACAATCAGGCGCATCTTTATTTCAATTAATGTCTTATGCCCGCCTGACTATAAGAATTTAAAGTCTAAAATAACTTGTAATTAATCAAACGCGTATCAGGGGAGTATTTTATACTATGTCTGCCAAATCTTAATCAAAACTTCTCTTTCAACGAAATATATCTTAGAACCACTGGCAGTGTACATGTTTCTAAAAATACCCGATTTCTTCTGGTGGAGCAAAAAAATCGCTGATATTTCAGCAATATGAGATTAAGAGCAATAGATGCGATCAAGGTGAGTCATTTATCCTACAAAAATAGTAAAACACTTACTACGGCGCAGGGATTTGTTTTTTGAGATTTTTCTGATCGCATGCGCTTACAATCGTACCAGAGAGCATTTTTTTGCAAATGATCTGGGAAAACGCCTATTGTCGATATCTTTAATACTCATTTAAACAAAACAAAGTATGTCATTAACAGTGAAAATAGTAGACGCAGATACGCAGAAATAAATGGCAATTAAACATTACGTTACATCTTATTAACCCGGGGATGCCAATGCTACGAGTAATCCAATTAACTCTGGCATTTTATTCTAACAAAATCGTGACTTCAGAAGATGAGTCAGCCAAATTCAAACATCTCTACAGAAATGCAATAACAGACACAGAAAATCGCAAGTCCAATAGCGCGTGTTTGGTTCTTTCGACGTTTCGTCCTCTTTTACCATATTCTGATACAATTCTACTCTAATTAGGATCAATTAGGCACCTTTTCATGACCTCATTGGCAAGTTATGCACAAAATGTGGCTTATCTGTTAATCAAGCCAACAGTAGCCCATGGGTACATGCAGATATATCTGTAGCACCATTTTCTGGTGTTTTCAGTGATACACATAGTTTCTGTATTCTCCTCGCTATCTGATAATACATAGATATGTTTCTTAAAGACTACTGTATGTCAGAATTGACTTATGTGATAGATAAAGCGGTTTTGCGCTGATAATTTAGGTTCTGTGTGATAATAAACGAAGTTTGACATGATAATAGCTCTATCAGGTGGTATACGCTGTTTTTGCGGTTTTTGTGGGCTAAATGTTTGTGCCATGAATTATGTACACAAGATTAACACCGCCTGGTCAGTTTCTATTACACAGGCAATTACCTAATGATTAAAGATTAGTTTGTTGACCATTTACCTGTGCAGACAAATATAGAAATCCAAGGGGTCATTTTAATATAAATGAAAGTCAAATCTAATTTAATGGTAAACAAATTGACTGATCAATAATATATTTAGTAGTTCAACTTTGTTTCGATCCCAGGTATAGATATGACGTCCTTTTATAGAAAAAAAGTGAAAACATAAACAACCTTCCTTCAAACACCCGCTGTTATCATAAAAACTCTATTAATGAATAATTATACAAAAAAATGGTCAGAAAAGCTGATATTACACGATTTAATCTTTTTCAGTGTTGAACAAAATACGGTTAGAATACCGGAACGGCACGGAACCATATCGTTCAATAGACGCTACATTCTGTTGGAATTAATGAAATATCTTAAAATCATAGCTTAACCACAAACATCATTATGTGAATGTCACACTACATTATTCATGAAGGCAACATCGGATACCATTATGCACTTATCTGAAGTAAAATTTCTCCGCATGCGTAATTTCATTTCGAAATAAATCTAACCACAACATTAAAAAAAAAGAGCCAACATACAATTTAAGTGACGTCAGATATTATATATGGTATAATTATTAAAGATTAGATAAAGGTGAAAGTTAGAACCTTTTGTTTCATATTATCTGATGACAATGTTTATAAAGATATAAAATAACGCCGTGTCATATGTTATCTATGGAGGGATTTACGTCACAACAAGATTTCTTGGTGATAAATCATCAGTGTCGTGCCGAGAGCTCTTAAATAGCATCTTTACACGTTTTAATTCTCTTTTCTGTACAAGTCCATTATTTACTTATTTCACCTATCATCAGATATCGATCAAACACTAAGTAATCGATAAGTAACGTTACAAATACAAGATATTTATCCTCGAGGCATTCTTCACAATGACTCATGGTGTACATGTACTATTATGATTGTGTGTGAGATTTTGTGACACATCTTGACATGAGACAAGAAAAGAAATGCTAAACATAAATGAATTTAAAGAAATGAAAATATTTGCCGAAGGGCTGTATCAAACACTTCGTATAGAATATTTTGAAAAAGTTTGGTAAATAATTAAAGATTGGTATTTAATCTTTAAACTATAAAAGAATGTGCAAACCATTTAGTTGAACACACCAAAATACAGATTTTAAGACTGTTAGTTAAAAATAAGTTAAAATATTGTATATTTACCTTTTAAAATTGAAGCTTGTTTTCCTTCCCGACGGAGCACTGAAAGAACTATATACATTGAGGCATCGGTCGCCACGTCTTTAATGTCTTTGGTCCGGTCGTCATATACGACGACTTCTTTATTAGATCTTTTCTTGAAAAGGTCCTTTCCTTCTTTAGAGGTAACAAGATCTACTAATGAGCACTTTCCCTGAAGTAGCCGCCGACGATTAAATCTGTCGGAACAGTTAATATTCACAGCTCCCTGAATATGATTCGCGTTATAAGCAAAGAACGGTCGACAATCTAAAACAAGAACCGTTTTTGCTCTGTTAATCCGACATGCTAAGTCCGCCGGAAGAATGGTCCTATGTCCAATCCCTGACCCACCATTGTGAGGATAGGGTCCGTTATTTATCTGAATATTCATTGATTCTATTTTGCACCTTTTGGTGACTAAGTCGTCCGTTGAAATGTCAGAAAAGTCTAATGATAATCCGATCCTCCTTCTGGCCAGCACCCCCACGCCTCGGGAAACGTTTGGGTTCAAGACCTCGACGTCCCCAGATTCAGGCATTTGAAATCCTAATGGATGGCTAGAACTTAAAATAATCCGCAAAAAGTCTACACAAAATTTGTACAATCTTTGTGCATTTTGAACTAAATTATTTCCAAGCTGTACGTTATCACGGAACGGACAGACAGACGAACACACGCCACCGCAAGCTGTAGCCTCAACAAACGTTTGTTGTGCCACTGGTGGCTGGCTAACAATTGATGAACAGATGAAATCTGTTGCTGACATAAATGTAGACAACTGTTTGAATATCGGTATGTGAAGAAACTGAACTACTCCGCACTATCAACAATTCATGTATGAGTCGAAATACATGAATGATAGTTTACTCGGCTACGTCACATGACCTATTTGGATGAGATCATTTGTAACTAAAAATAGACTAATTCGCTATCTTTACATTGCTATTTTTCCACAATGCATTGCGATGAGAGGAGAGCGCATGCGCGATGCAGGCGAATCAATGGCTAACCTTCCTGTATACAACAGCAGACGAAATGTTGGTACGGTTTAAAAGTATGAAGGAAAATTTAAAAATCTTTTTATTTACGCCATTAAAAAAATAATATTTGATTTATCTGATGAAATCTGCACCAATATTGTCTTAAGCTGATGATTTAACCAGTATTTAATATTTGCAATGAATTTGATACTATTTAAATAATCTTCGTAAGGATCTATATTTAAACTTTACGTTGACATTTAATGTATAGTTATGCAATAACTAACTATTCATGTACACTAAGTGACACATATAATACATGCAGAATTTAAGTCTTACTAACGTTCGTTAATATATAATATAATTATATGGTTATGACACAGTAATTTCATAATGGTCATCAGGAGAAAATAAGTAAGTGATACATGTAGATCTAGCACACGTCATGCCTATGCTTTTATATAGTAAACAAGAGACGCTCTCGTCCAGTTAAGACTGGTTGTTTTCTTTTTGTCAAAAACCGGTTCAGACCCAACACAGGCAACCAGAAGGAACTGTGTCAGTGTTGTAATCTATGCCGTCTAAACTAGGTCACATACTTCACACAAGACAAAGGTGATGACACCAATAGTGATACTATCAAGTTATGTAAAAGAGACGACCAGCATTTTCTCGTACTTAGTATAAAGTTACACTCTATCGATATCAAAGGAACATTTCATTTATTGAACCATCAATTTTTCAGACTTTATTAACATGGTGATGCTCTGTCTTATTTGTTTTTAAACAAACAAAAAAACTTATGTCAAGAGGATGAAATAAGACACCTTAAAAATACAATTTAAAAAGTTATGTTAATTAACTTGTATTAGCGCATGTTATTATTTAAATACATTCTATAAAACTTTTTTTCTTTTTCTAATGTACTATAGTCTGTAAAATAGTTGAGATATTTCTAGATCTAAAAGATCTTACCCATAAAGAGACATAATTGTAGCCAATTATGTTAAAAGTTCTATCAGTGGGGGATTTGCTGACAATCTTATCACGTGCCAAAAATGTATAAATAATTATATCAGTATTTATAATAACCTACAGTCATGCACGATGACGGAATTATGCGAGAAAATGGCCACTTTGGCCAGCGTCCGTTTATGACATACCATTGACTTTCTGACATGGGGGCATTTAATCAGATTCATTTTAAGCTGCAAAAATCACGAAGCTAATTACTGGTTACTATGGCAACATTTACACGGAATAATTGTCTACTAATGAGGTGAAGCATGTTAGACCATTTAGCGTTTCTTTACAGTTCACTTATCAAAATAGTTGTCAAAACACGATCATCATTAGAGGGCAAAGGTAATTGAAGATTTATTATACCTAGAAGTTTGTTTTTACGTTAACTTCAACACAGAAATGGAATACCGAAAACAAGAACAGTCAAGATTAGGCTAAATTAATTTTTATTCAAAATAATAAGTGCTTTGAAAATTAAAGCCATATTAGCCCCAAAATATTTTTTTAAAACTTTTTTTTATATTTATTTTGGTGGACTGATACAGTTTCCCATAAGGCTGAACCATCTTTTGTTTGTTTTTTTTTGCCATTAGTGAAGTAACAGTGATTATACTTTGTTTACGTTTTGCAACTTTTTTATAGAAATATTTCACATTCACAACTACTTTCTTAACGCAATAAGCATCTAACATGATCTAAATCTACAGAAAAGTCAAATTCATTAGTGAGGCAAACAAACAAAATTAAAAACAAAGATTTCAAATGAAAATTAACGTTCCAAATGACCATGCAAGAATGGTGAATGTTTAAACTAAATTTCAAATTGATGTTTCGCATTTTTAATTTAGGACAATAAACCTGACAGGACCTTCTGTATGCGTTATAGATGATGTCTATGTAATTTGTTGTTAATTTATTATATAATTAAGATGTAGACCTTAACAAAGGCCAATTGAAATGTCATCATAACCTTGACTCTTTAAAAAGTAACCGATCCCTTCATGAATTATTCATTTTTTTCACCTGTGATATTTAGATATAGGTCATCTTCAAGTCGTACATTTCAATCAAATTTACGTTTGAAAAATTTGCAAATCATTATGTCAGCATTTATCACATGACACTCATTCTTTTTTGAGTGTCTGTGTAAGTTTTCGTCTGTTCATGTGACCGTCTGTCAGCCCGTTGATGATAACGCGGGAGAAGGCAATTCTGTGATTCTAGTATTTTTGCAACTCATGACCCAATCATTTTAACGATAATAACCTGATGAATCCGAATTTAGAGGAATACAATTTTGTTCAATATTTTGCCCCATTTCTTTAAGTCTCATTATTGTTCTATATTAATTGACACATAAGATGTAATAAATCAATATTTATGATTATATGTTGATAAAACAATAGAACAGACGACATGTTCAAATAACGCTGAAGCACAATATGTGAACGATTCACGCGACAGATGTTGCTTATTAAAACATGTATACAAATAAATCATACTTCAATTGAATTTCAAATTTTGTTGTAATGAACAGTGAACAAAAAAGTGTTAAATTTACTTGGAATAAACGAAACAACTGTTCATTTGATTGTACAGCAAACAACAGTTATCTTAAAAGGTTTTATAAACGATTAGAGAATATATATGAAGCTGCTATTTCTTTTTCACATACTTATCTTCAATTTCTACCAATTTTCCTCGTATTTTTTTAATCTCGGAACTATATAAGCTGTTATTTTACAGCCCCTGAAAAGGAACGGTACTTTAATTATAATATCAACAAATTTTGAATAAAAGAGTAATAGTTTTGGTAGTGGAACTATTTGTACGTGACAAAAGTTATTTTTTCATCGTGAAATTGTTGACAACAATGAGCAAACTAGATAAAGATAGCTATTACACACATTTCGTCTGCGTTTCTCTGACCAATTTCTGTTAGAAGTTGTCCGATCGATTTGTTTATTGTTCGCAAAACCCGTAACCAATCGAAATGTTCCACTATTTCATCAATGATCTAAAACCGAACCAATCCCGTCACACTCCGGGTTATTTGTACGGAACACATTTTGTCATTGAGTACAAAGTGACTGACAGAGTAAACTATAGAATCTCAGTACATTTAATATGTGTAAAGTACCATTATTAAATAAGTCTTTTTTTTGGAGAATGATTTTATATGTATAAAGAAGTTCAATAAATACAGAATTATCGGATGAAAGAAACCAAAGTTTCAAAATGTTATACAATCCACTTTCATTAATAACAATAAAAAATATCAGATAAGTGCAAATGTAATAAGAAATAACTATTTGAATAGTCACATTATCTGGTGAGGACAACACTAGATAAATGTACTGCATGCGTTAATATATATATTATAATAAAAAAAAAGAAAATCTGATCTATCAAATGTATTTAAAGTGAATGAAAAAACAAAACAAAACAACTTCACCATGATATCCTTAAAACGGTTCCAAATCAAGTTTATTTAAGAATTTCAGCAGTTTTAGGGGTAACTGATACGTCTGATAATATTTAACAATGCCGATAATGACGCACTTAATTAATATAATAGTATATTAAGAAGATTTGTTTTAACCTTATTAAAACACAGATACCGTAGATGTTAAGATAGATGATATACGTATAAGTGTTATTAATATATTTCATTTTCTTCTACAATTTTATTGTACCATATGATCTGTATACTTTTTTCAATTTATTCCTATATTAATAAATTTCAGAAAATTGTAAAATTAAAAAAAATCTTTACCTGTCTAATTCCGCCTATAAAACATGGATGAATAGCTTTTTATATTATACATTAAGGAATTGTAAATATCTAAAATTGTAAGTTTTTTTTGTATGCTAGAAAAACTCCCAAACAAAATGATACTGCCAACTGTATGTATATGTACTAAATTGATTGATTGATACAAAATTATAATGCATGTACTATTTTTGATTATTAATCATGTTTATTTATGATTCAACTGATTGGCTCACCAAGTCCTTATCTATTTCTCACTCATGCGCAAATACTCATACAAAAATATGAATGACATGTTTGTTATATTTATGTTCTGAGAAATACATGCTGGAGGGAAAAATATGGTGATGGACAAACGTAGTAGTAATATCTCTCGACTTCACTAGCCTAAAATAGTTAGTCTCATTTTTTATGATTCACACATGTGCACGCATCATTAGTAATAACCTGCCACCAACGAAGGGGTCACCCAGGGCAACCACAATCTATAGGTCTCCTGCCTTTTGTCCGGGCACACAACATACATCTGTTGTTAATATATTTTGCAGACCATCTGTAAAATTTGACTATTAGTCTGTAAATCAAATACACATATAAATCAGAATAACTCGTTATAACAAGATGTTCCTGGTCGCGACTTTGTATAATCTGAATAATCAGTTTTAATGGTTTACCCAGAAATTACTTACAATAATGAGTTAAAATTAAGATGATTTTATGATTACGTGGAAATTAAATTATCAATACCACAGTAACTTTTGATTATATCAAAATTACTCATTCAAACATATCCTTGATTGTAGTAGTAGTTCAAGTAGCCTAAGATGGCATTACAAGCATTGTATAAATGGTCACAATTAATAAACATATATGTACCTAAATTTTGATTTATCGCCTGAAAAGTAGGAACAAGTTTTGCAGCATCTCCTTAAAGTGAATTACAAGCAAAGTCGGATGACCTCGAGAAATTTAGTATGATTTTTAAGCTGGTTAGTAAGTGATTTACCACAAGCATTGCATGTATATATTGAATTTTCTAAACTATCAACATCTTTCTACATTTAAAATAAGAATTAAGCACGTCGAAATTGTGTGAAGAAGTGAGTTTTTGTTTATTTGATTTCCTAAATTTGTTTATATGAATAGATGTGTGTTCATTATGAAAGTATAAAATGTACTTGAAGATGTTGTCAACATATCCCCCCGGAAGCCAAGAACTTTAACTGTGGTTTTAAGGGATGAAAAAGTTG